TCGTTTGATAAAGTATTTCCAGGCCGAAGGCAACCCTTCAGAATCTCTAGAATTGATGCATGAATCATGCAATTTGCTTTTATATATTTCAATTTTTTCTGCGCAATTCGCCAATGTCGGTGAATGTACCGATTTAATAATTTCTGCTTCGTCCCATTTGACGATTGAGCCTTCAACTTGCGCCATTTGCGATAGTATAGTGGNATCAGCGCTGTCCAACTTATCATAGCCCGCGGGCCATATTTTCTTCACCAAACATTTCGGGGGCCAAGAAAGTTGCTGCTGTATTCAGCCAGGTTAAGTGAAGTTACGCAAACTAAATAGTACCTACTTTAAATTCAAATTAGATTTAAATTTTCACATACTAAAATAATTTTAATATTAATAATAATAATTTAGTAACATAAATTTATTCATAGTAAAATGTACTCGGGGGCTGTAAAAATTATTTGGCGGGCCGTATACGGCCCACCAGTTGGACAGCCCTGGTTTAGATAACACACAATCTTAATTGTTATGAGCCTATTTTATAAATAGAAAATTTATAGATGCAATTTTGCTAACTTTTCATTAAATGATGACCCTTGTTACATGCCTGAATTTTTCATTTAACAAATATAGAAAAGTAATCATTTTCAGTTTGTCTCAAAATGCAGTGCGCTCTATTGTGTTGCATTTCAAACAGATTAATTTTAATTTGATTTATTCTTTCATTTATTATTGATTTAACTAATCTTACAGGCATATCTATTTTCTGCATTTTTTAAGGTGCATTTGTTTTGTCAGAGTAGTGTGCTCTTTCACATTTATCCATTACAAAAAAATACAGGAATGATATCAAATTGACATACAATATCTGTTCAGAAACTAACCAAACTTTTTGAACTGGGAAAAAACGAAGTGTCCTAGTGTATTGAAGTTGACAACACTACACTCATGATAACCTACTGAGGAAGCTGCTTTTTTTGGATTATTGACATCTCTTTTCATTCCCACATTATTGTTTTTTGAGTAAAAGGTGTTTGTGTTAATTTTTTGCAATGTGCAATTTATGGGAGCAATGATGCAACATGAAGTTGTGTGTGAAACTGGGGAAAACTTTACAGAAACATTTCAACTTTTGAACCAAGCTTATAGAGGTGATAGTCTAGGTTGTATGCAGTGTTACTAATGGTTTACCCCATTCAAAAGTGGTTGTCAGTTAGTTGAAGATGACCCTAGACCAGAAAAGACTTTGATCTCAACTGATGATACTCACATTCAGAAAATCAGAGTTGTGCACTGAATTTTTGCCTCAAGGTCAAACAGTCAACCGTTAGTACTATGCAGGTGTTTTGAAACAATTGCATAGAAAAATTTGCAAAAAGAGACCAGAGTTGTAGCAAGACAACTCATGATTCCTTCACCATGACAATGCACCTGCCACTCAGCCTTATCAATTTGCCAGTTTTGTGCCAAAAATCAAATGACTGTCCTACTCAGCCTCTCTACTCATCAGACCTGGCTCCTTTTGATTTTTGTTTCCAAAATTAAAATCAGTGCTGAAAGAATGCCATTTTGACACAATTGATGACATTAAAACAAATTTGTCACAAGCACTGAAGGACAGTCCAAAACAAGCCTACCAGGACTTATTTTATCCCAGTGGTGTTTCCACTTTGCAATGTGTGAATAGGGGAGGGGAGTAGTTTGAAGGGGACAAGGACCAATAATCTGTAACTTGAAGAATAACAATTCAAAAAATTTTTTAACTATTTTTTTAAGACTCATAAATGAGGTTTGTACTAGTAGTATCAAACTATGTTTTGAAACAATATTTCTACAAAATTTTCATTAATTTCACTGAAAATATTAACTATAAAGAGCTTTTCAATTCTGTTTTCTAATTAATACCCTCTTTTTTATGGAACACTAAGAAATAAATAAACTAAGCAATTCTCAAGCATGAAGGAGAGTTTTTGTAGATGTTAAGTTTGAATTATGAATACTCTGACAAAATGAATGCACCTAAAGTTTTCTTCTGAAAATCATTTTGATCTACAACTCAAAATACTAACTATAAACAGACTGTTGAATATTTTGGTTTAGACCAGTGATCTCCAAACTTTTTTGATCATGTACACCTAATATGAAAATAATTATAAGTTGTACTCCCTATAAAATTTTTAACATTTACAAAAATTTGAAACTATATTGACATAAAATTAATTCTAAATTGTTTACGTAAACTCACTAATATTCTTTATACTAATCATTTGTATCAGGTATATTGAACATTTTTGTTTCCAAATTAGCTATTTTTATTATATGCTTCTATTACATATCAAATGCATCGCAAAGATAATTAATTGAATTGCAAATTAAAGTTGAGTAATATCTAGGAAAAGAGAATTAATTTAGATTGCTTGTAGAAACGAATTTTGAAAGTGGATTTACAGTACTGTTAAGGCGAATAAATTATGTAAAAGTTATGTTTACATGTATCAGTAGGCTTTTTTCTTTACTGTGACAAAAAGTGCTTTTCTTCTACTAATCTACTGTAAACTTGTGCTACTTATGTTTAATACTAAAATTACACAAGCATAACTTTTTCTCGGGTCTTCATAACTACATTGATGAAGAAGTGTTAAGTTTTATGTTATTCCCGATATATAGACCAAAATGATTATGCTTATATACATATATCCAAAAAATAAGATTGTAACTGTAAAGTGTAAAGTAAATAACACATACCCAAAATCTTGTGGGAAATTTTATTATAGACCTATATTAAAAATAAATTTTCTTCTCACCAGCACCCAACGGAGTAAAATATGATGATATCAGCCGACCACGCCATCTTCAATCGCACTCCCCTTGTAATTCATTATTTTTTGGCACTATGATGATGATGATCTCGATGTGCAGATATCTTCAAACGGATAATCTATCATCATTTTTGGATATACAGTTGAGTCCGCATAAGTCGTCATAGGTATAACTAGACACTGTCGGTTAAGTAGTCAGTTTTCTCATAGGCATTAATGTTAAAAAAAAACTCTGGTTTATTCGACGTTGTTTATCTCGTCACCAATGGATAAATAGACATACTTTTTCTGTCCCACACTCGTTTAGATGTCTGATAAGTCGACTCCCCTCCTGAAAAAAAAAAAAAGAAAAAGAAAAAAAGACTTCCCACCACACGGTAAGCTGTGTGGTGTGAACTCATTTTTTTCAGGAGGGGAGTCGACTTATTTATTATAAAAATTTTGAGGTATTTTCATTAATATGTAATATATTTTTGTAATATAAAATAATTGCATATTTTCGTTTTGTCTGTTATCTATATCAACATCAGCAGAATCCGATTTTTCATTTTCTCACTTTTCATTTATGCGTTATTTGTAGCACGTGTTTCACATTTCTGTTAGAAATAAAGTATCGGAAAGCTAACAATGCTTACGCTGAAGGAAAAATAAGAACTTGTATCTGAATTTGAATGTAATAAAACTTCGCAAACCAAATTTGCAAACAAGAAAACCTTCCAACAACAACATTGGTGGGAATTCTGAAGAGAAAAGAGGAAATTAAGAAACTTTTTCTTGGTTCTTCGTCACGGCTGTCTCGATTCGCCAGAGAAAGTCGCCATACAAAGATGTGGAAGATGCTCTAGCAAATTCGTTCATCGAATCTTCTGTTTCGGGGCCGATACTGAAACAAAAAGCGATAGAAATCGCCGAGGTACTTGGAGTAGGAACCAACTTTAGTGCCAGTGATGGATGATCAGAGACTGTATAAAGCACTACTGTATTTTCCTAATTGTAGTTTTGTGGTGTTTTTCAACTTCGTTTTACTAGTCATATCGGATAACGCGACACATTTCCACTTTCCCTTGGGTATCAACTTATGCGAACTCGACCGTATTTACAATTTATTCATGTTTTTGTTTTCGAATTTTTGTTTATTCTGAAAATTTTGGATATTTTCGTATTTATTCATCGCTATGCAAATTCAATTTATCGTATTCTGAATGTGTGTATTTTTTATTCTCAGTGAAATCTATCTGTTGTTCACGCAATTCAATGTGTGTGAGAGTAATCCGGAAATTTTCGAAGTGCGAGGCGTTTCGTCTTAAATTTGCGGTTAGACTGTTATTATGTGATTTTTAAAAGGGGAAAATCACCATTTACAGTAAAATTTTGTTACTTATTCTATTTAAAGAAATTAATTTCATGCAGAAATTTTAAAATATTATATCTTCTTCGGAACACCCAAATTAATAATTTATAATTCCCAGTTTGTCGTTTATCTAAGCCACAATTTTATTCGATGCATATTGCTAATAAACAACAAATGTGTGAATAATTTGAAGCTTTAAAATTATTTAAGTCATCGGAAAATTATTTATCGAAAAGATTAATTTTAAAAAAGGGATCACGAAGAGAGATTGGAAACTTCTGCGATAATATATCAAGAATCATATTTAATTCATCAACTGACTGCCAAACGACCCTTCACGATAAATCGATTGACCCCTCAGGGATCCCTGTTTAGACTATATATTGATAATTATCTGATAAATACAATAATAAAATCCTTAGTTTAATTTATTTTCAGAAAAAAAAACAAAATTTATTCGCTTCATTTTTATTGTATTTTTGTACAGTTGTAATAAACTGGATAAAGCAGTTTTTGGCCCATGAGTGGTTGAAAACCAGATCAGTATATAATTTCTAGTTATTGTTGTTTCTACAACAGTCTTCAAACTAGACTTATTGGTATTTAATTTTCATAACTTCTGAATTATTGCAGAAGAACTATTTTGTAAAAAAAAGATAACACCAATGTTTTTACACCTATTTCTTTCTTTTTCGACAAGACAGAATGTAAATAAGATTTATCAGACAATTTATCACAAGATAACCTTTCATTTTCACTTGAGATATTCTAGACAAGAAATTTTCATTCAGTAAGTTATAAACTTCGTATACTTTTACTTTTTTAAATTAATTTTAAGTATATTAGGCTAATATAATCGACTTTTACCAAGAATTTTACGAATTTAAATACAATTAAATCGAATTTATTATTCGTAAATACCATCTTTTACAATAGAAACGTGTTTGTCTCCCATTGAAAAGCAAATTCGCCAACGCTTTAAAAAAATGAGATTTTAACTGCATTAAAATATCTTTTAAGTGATAAAAATATTACGAAGAACTCGTTTTCATTCTTCCAACTTAATTAATTCGATTCGGTAGTCGTCTGTAAACCCGTTCGACTTTGACAGAACCAGAAAATCGGACAAAGCGCGCGCATTAATTGTTTCTAGGTGTCGAATTTTATTCTTTCCTACCGTACCTCAGCTTCAACATGTGAAACAGTTTTATTCTACTGTCTGGCTATCAAATAAAACTATCGAAGCCTTCACAATTCACAAATTTAATAAGAACTTGTATGAATTGCTGTTAATTCTGTATCGTAAAGAATCTTTGTTTACTATAAGAAATCTTCCCACACCCGTCATCGAGTACCGGTTTGTTTGGCTCAGCAGACTAAACTCCGGAGAGTTTACTCGGTTAGAACAGCCATTCGGTAAACCTTTACATGCTGTTGCGTCACGTCACGTTTTGCTTCACGAGTCAGACAGCGTTAAATAACTGCACCGTTGCCAGTCGGCGAAACGGAACACTTCCGTCCGGAAAAAAATCTCACTGTTCCGATATTTATCCGGAAAAAAGCGGAAGTTGCGACCTTTCTTTCCCCATTTTCCGACCCTCGTCGATTGCGTAACGGCAGCAATTTAGGCGTGAGCGCGTCAGCCGCGACGTCACAAGGTCAATTCGTAGTTCTTGTTACGGCCGTGCAGCGTGGGTGTCGCTGCTGTTTCGTTTACCAAACTGGGATATATAGAAATTTATTCGGGATTCGATTCGAAATGGGGGGTATAGAACGAACTTGAAAAATGACAATACGAATCGGCGCGATTTATAAAAATTGAAAATGACATTTTGGGCAAGGGAGAAAAAAAGAAACAGAACTAAGAAACGCGACGATCGAGAGTCAGGATAAACCTTCCGTATAAGGTAATATGTTAGTAGGACGGGGGAGAGTGTAACCGGACGCATGCGCCATATAATATTACCTGAGAGTGCGCACCTGTCCCGATTGCAACAGGTGTCCTTTCTACGGGTCTTGCTTCGATTCGTACGTAGTTAAGATTTACCTGGACGGGGATACGTCGTTTCTACACAGGTAAGAGCGATGTATGACTCTCCTCTCCTGTCTATCTGATCCAATCTTTTGTATAATGTACGATTTTCCCGCTCTTCTCCTCCCTTATTCCCCTTTGATTTGAGAATTAAATTCTAGTTACATCTCTAATTTTCGGTTCTTCTTGGAGTGGGGAGTGTTTCTGAAGGTTTTGGAAGTCTCCAGGCTTAGGAGGATGAGTTAATACGTCCGTCCATCCGTATTTTCCGATCCGTCGGAATAGCGGAACGATGGACCAAACCGCATTTTTCGCTTTTCCGTTCGGGTGGAGGAAAGTAATTCGGTTGTTTCCACCTTCGCGACTTGCAGAACTGGTTCCTCGGCTGCGGACTTTGATATTGAAACCTGAAAGAACGTGCCCGATCTTCCCATCTGATCTGCTTCGCCCAATGTTTGGACGAAGATCGAACGAAAAGAATCGAATGATCATAATTCTCTGAAAGATGAAGGAAACGAAAAAGGTTTTCTAGTCCTTCCTGGATACTAAGAGTTCTAGAAAACAAAATATGGAACCACCTTTAATCTATCGAATCTTTTCATTGATGTAAAATATATCAGTTCGAAATCGTACGAATTTTCACAATATTTCTATATTTTCAATTTGAGATTAGAATCATATTTTGAAAAGGTTTTCGTTTCGCGCGATCTAGAAATGATGATTAGTCGAAGTGTCTTAAATTGAAAGAGAAAATGATAGAAATTTAAGAAAGTTCTATATTTAAAATGATAAAAAGGAATAGGAAGCAATCGAATAGTTAGATAAATTACCTTTTTTTAAAAATAGCTCATTGTGATATCCTTTGTTACCATACAATCTTTTATTAATTTCCTGAAAAATGTTTGTTCTGATTTACGGGAAAATACGTTTCTAAAAAAGTTCCGAAAGGAAAACTTTTGTATCCTTTTTGACATTAAAATTTATAAAACGACATCCTCAAATAGAATGAAATAGCGAAATACGTAGGGATTGGATGCGACATCGAAGGGGAAAACACCATAATACGTATACGTAGAATTAGTGATAAAAATATATACATACATTCTTGTTTATTAAATAAAATCAAATGAATTTGGAAGGATTATCCAATTCTACATACGCAATACCTCAATCTCTGAGCAAGTTTATTTACTTTTAACGCTAATGAAATTAAATCTAGAAAAAAAAATTAAAGCGAGATTATTTTAATCCCCAAAAATATTAACAGTTTTAGTGGGACTTGTCATTTATCAGTTTATAGAATTTTAAAATTGATTAATAATCCCTCTATATATTAATGTTTTTGTGTACAGTACAATCTCAAATCCAACTTTTTCTGGTGGAAATATAAATGAAATATAATTTAACTTTAATTATATCGTTTCAAAACTTTATGCCGAGTTTGCAAATTGCTTTGTAGGCGACGGTAATTAATAGAAAAAGCAACAGTCCAGAATACTAATTTACGAAAGAAAAAAAATGTCGAATTCCTATATTAGAGTCTGTCAGATTTTGAATGAAAGAAGTTCGGAATTTTTGCTTCTAGCAGATTTCGTTTCTCATTTAAAATAATCGATCCATGTTCACGAGATTAGTTTTGTGCTAGAGCTTCCCCAAGTTTTGCTTCCGTAAAAACAGAATATAAGAATCGAAGTAATTATTTTGATAACCCTTTATTAATAATTAATCACAAACTGCAAATAAATTTACAGAATGCCTAATTAATTTGCAATATCCGCCTACAGCGATATTCAATATTCTAAAGCCTCAACATTCAATTTCCATTATTATTTCGGGGCGATCTTGGCAAACGTTTCCGTTTGTGTATTATAAGAAACATCCATTAAAGGAAATAGACAACCACTTAATTACTGTGGAGCTAATTACTTTTTCTAGACAATTGATAGAACAAAAAAAATAACTGCTAACTTTTTAACTGAGCGATTTTGATTGTTCTATGTTATGAATGTTGATAATTAAAGTTGACTAATGTATTAGGGGTTTATTCATTCCAAAATTTAAGAGTATTAAAGAGACGCCTTTGTAGAAATTTAAGCAAACAAGATTTTTTTTTTTTTTTTTTATAAACGAAGTTTAATAAACATATAATTAGTTTTACTTTGATATTTTAGTATTAGTATAGTTGTACCAATAATGATATTTAGACAACCATAAAGTTTTCTCGTCTATTAATATTGACTTGGAATTGATGACTCTAATAATAACATAAAACCATATTTTTTGTCCTCTGAATCAGAGAGGAAAAATGCTAGCGATACANGTACTAATTATATTCATTACCTTCGAAAAACATTTAGTTTTCGAATCCGCTCAAATGTTAGAAAGAACTTTGTTAGAAAATGAAAGAAATGTTAGAAATAATTGAAACTTCATTAATAAAAATAATACACCAGAACCAATTTATAGACTGATAAACTCAACTCCAATAGTTTTCTATATTAGGGAGGAAACTGTTATTTCTTTATTGAATTTTCTCATAGGTTTGTTTTAACTTATCAATATGAAAATTTTAATACATCAATTATCAATTTGACTATAAGTCACATATTATTGAAGAAGCAGATATATTTCTAACAACATTTATATTGCTTTCATTTTCACTTTAATTTCTCTAACACTAAATTAAATAAAATCAACACAGCTGCTAATAATTGAAGTTTAAAAAAAATAAAATAAAAATCCATTCAACTTGCTATAAGAAAAGGTTCGGAGACCAGTTTATTTTCAAATTCCCTTCATCATCTTCCTATTGAAATTCATAAATGACACTTAAAATTATTCTGACCGCATCTTCCGATCAACTAATAGGAAAAAATTAGTGGTCCTTTAATTGACCCGGATTAGGTACGACGTTCTAAATTAAGGAGAGCCGTGAACTAGTTATGAAGCGTTTTCCTCGGCCAAATTTCTAAAATTGCCTTTTTCCCCTTCTGGATTATCACATGCAACGTGATAATATATTCTAAATTAACTTCACGGAGCCGCAAAAAGCTATGGACAAAAATTAGACACCCGTTTAACTAATTAAAATAATGGTGGACATACTGAATCTTCCGTATTGAATTCCTTCCGATGTTTTAAAAAGTTTGTTCGTTCATTATTTACAGAAATTTCTGTAGACAAACGATAGAAAATATAGATTTTCATTTTGCTTAATATCTAACTTTATTTCGATAGTTGCCTGGTTCTGAATTTATATAGAATATCGCTGTAAATTATTTGATTGTTGACAAAAATAGAATCTTCTGTGGCACATATATTCTACAGAAGGTTAATAAAGAATATATGTTTACACTGTTAATATTACATAGTTTATGGATTCAAACTACTGTATTCTAATTAGTTATGATTTCCGATAAGCTCTGAGTCGCTAATTTAAGATAAAATTCATAATTTCTTTAAATTAAGGTGTAATGAAGTTATATTATCATATTCATATCATAAAATAACGTGGTTAAGTTAAATTTTCGCTCACGACGATCACGTTATATCATTTAATATTAAAGTTTCCAATTAAATTTGCCAGCTCGCTCGAGCCTTCGAAATTATTTCAAACAGCGATTCGTTATTCTTCAGTTACGTATTATTAAATGTAGACTTCACCAAAATTACAGTAAAATGTTCTAACATAATACCCCATTATACACATTTGATGACTCTTAAAATTGAATTCAATTTTAAATACCATTTGATAATTTCTTTCCTCCATGTATGAAATGCTGAAAATGCGATGTAAGTTGAATCGCTTTCAATGTAATGATTATTTATCCATTTAGAACATAGCAAAAATCTATCACAAAATAAAATATTATATTAAAAAATAAATAAATAAAACAATTTTATTTATAATTTTAAAACTTAATTTGATTTTGAAAATAAAATTAAAATATTGACAATGTTCATAATTAAAGAATCTTTATTCATCTTCCTCTAGAGGAGAGTGATTTCTTCATTCGCCCTCCTTTAGAGGAAGATGAATAAAGATTCTTTATCCATAATATATTAGGCTCGCAATATAAACTACATTCCTAACTTCTATCATAAATTAATATATGAAGTGTATATGGGGAGAAAAATAAGATTAAAAAAATATGTTTACTATTCCAACTGCTTCCTTTTTGAGAGAAACCAGATGGTTTTCTTTCACACCTGGTTTTCAAGAAGCCGTTCATAAATTATGCAGACTACTAAGAAAGAAAATAGGGATTTTTTTAAATTTCATAAAATATATTATTCTGTTTACAGAGATAAAAATATTTAATTTTAGCATTATTTGGTTTATTGGGAAGTCTGTAAGATTCTGCTCTCAATGGCTTTTAAAATAAATTATCACAATACGGATATTTCTAGTCTTTCCGTTCTTGATATACGGTATAATAGTTATGCCAGGATGATGTTTCAAAGTCGAATAGGAAATAAATATTAATTAAAATGTGTCAACCCTCTTATCAAAATATTAAGCGTTACTATCATCAACTTTTTTTCAGGATGGTGCGAAATTCTATAAAAACTATCTGGGTCGATCAATAACGTTGTCATCTCTTCCGTCTCTATATTATTTTTTCAGTGAACATGAACATAAACAAAGATGGAGAAAAATGGTTCTTTTCCAAACTAGGCAAATACAAACGAAAATCATTAGCAATTAATTTATCATTACAGTTACTTCGTTGATTTGATATCATATAGTTCTGTTCCAATATTAATTTCAGCTTCCTAATGAGATTTTTACAATTTTTTAAAAAGTATTATATAAATATTTTAATTCTTACGATATAGGCTATTCGGTTATATTTTCAAGCAAATTTTTATAAATAATCAAAAATAGAATTTAAATAATAATAATAAGGGCAACGACCTCTTTTCACTATTCTCCTATATTTCTTTTTTTTTTTTACAAAATCTATATAAAATGTTACAGTATTTTTCGAATTAATAAAGAAATACCGTTAGATATTTGTTTCTCAGTGGGTAAAGGGGAATAGTTTAATTAATGACTTTTTTTTAAAAATAATTTCACGGTACAATGCTGTTTCGGCCATGGGCACTTTCAGTGGTCTGTTATCTTCTAACGCGTATAATTTCCGTGACCAATTGTTTTGTTTTATGCATTAGCCAGAGTATCAATTTTTGTTGCAGAATTCGGATCTGTATCAGGGAATTTCCAGCGAAGGATCCGGTATGCGCCGGCCTTTAAAAAATATTTGGTGGGTTGCACCTCCTACTCGTACGCCTCTTTTCTTTGCATGACACCAACTACCTTCGACATAGATTCTTCGCCTTCTAAAGTTCAACTTGCTGTTTATAACTAACTAGTTGAACTCGGATGATTCTTTAATATTTTCGTCGTTCAGGTAAAATTTTATTATAAATAAAATTTATTTAAATACAGTATATTATGTATATTTCTCCATTAAAATTTCTTTATCACAGAGTCGTTTGATTTTCGACATTTGTTTTTTTTTTTAATTTTGTGTGTGTTATAGTGATTAAAACATTGTAATATCATTTTTAAATGAAATAATTCTAAAGTAATTTTATTTAAGTTAGTGTCTAAGAAACTTTAATTCAGAACAAAAATTACGTTAGTCTCAAGACTTATAGTGAAGAAAATTGTGTTAGATATTTTTTAAAATCGGGTTCTTACTAGAATAACTGAGATGTTTTAATTTCTAACATTTAATGTCTTTTTCTGAGAGGAAGCCTGCTATTTATATCATAATTTTTGCATTTAATTTAATGTAACTCATCCTTTCGGTAAACGGATACATAAATATCCGGTCAAAATGTGACCTGTAGTTACGGATCGCCATCCTTCGACAGAGCGTGACCCCTACAAGATCGTGTTACGCTAGGATCGGTTACGAGATTAAATCATAGTATCATGTATTCGTGAATCCGTTAGGCTGTCGAATAATATTACACTTTTGTTGTAATAATTCTGTGATTTATTATTAATATTTCTGTTTCTAGAATTCCGAATGAAAGAGTGAAATGCCAGGAAGCGTTAGAAGAAGTGATTCGCAGAGATCAGACAGTAGTACAGATTCTAGAAAGAAAGTCAGTTTTAACAGAGCGGTAAAAGTAAAGAAATATTCCAGACCAGGAAAACATTCACAGTCAGTCACCGAAAGCCCAGAAAAGAAGTTCTGGTTCAAAGTTTACAAAAACCGCCATCATCAAGAACCAGATTTAGTTAAAGAGACTCGTGAATTTAATGCTAATTGCAACAACGTTTCTGCTCACGATCCCCAATCCGATTCGTTGCATCCCAGCCAAATGCCCGCCGAAACACCCCACGTGAGAAAAGATCACGTCAAACACATCGTCAATTTGTTTAATCAGGAAGCTGTGCTAAAACCCACCTCGGAAGACGCAGAACACCATAGCAGGCCTATGGATCCTCCCACCGATTACAACTCTCATAATAGCGAACACAAACATACCAGTCCCAAACAGAAGAAAAATCCCTTAGTTAACGGGGTGAAAGTAATGTTTGGCATGAACAGTTTAAAGAAGAAGACCAAAGACGAGGTTCACAAGAAAAACGCAATAAATCTGAAGAAAACTCGGAATTCCGGAAACAAAGCTAAATCAATTGATCAAAAAGGACCACACAAAACCAATATAATTATACCAGATATCAAAAGGATATCTGAAGTAGATTCGTCTTATCACCGTTATAATGACAAAATGAATGGAAATGGATACTCTAATTCTTCCCATTCTTATCATCCCGATCCTACTACTGCTACTTGGGATTCTGGAAAAATTTTAGTGAGTGATTCGAGCCAAGTTGATAATTCCTTAGAAAGTTCCCGAGAAGGGAAATTTTATAAAAGCGCAGGAGAGAGACACCGTGTATGGAAACAAGATAAAGTAACCCGCTACGAAGAGCCCATTTTCATCACTAGAAAGAAGACTACCAGTGAAAATGATTTATCTGATAATAAAAGAATAATCCATACTCAAAGGCTGGACTATTCCGACGAGGAAGTAAATAAATCGAAACAGTCTTCGAAGAACAAAATCATCCATACTCAAAGGCTGGACTATTCCGACGAGGAAGTAAATAAATCGAAACAGTCTTCGAAAAACAAAATCATCCATACTCAAAGATNAATAAATCGAAACAGTCTTCGAAGAACAAAATCATCCATACTCAAAGGCTGGACTATTCCGACGAGGAAGTAAATAAATCGAAACAGTCTTCGAAAAACAAAATCATCCATACTCAAAGATTGGACTATTCCGATGAAGAATTAAACAAATCGAAACATTCTTCCAAGAACAAAACCATCAAAGAAGACAAAGCAATACAGTGCGACGAGTTTTGGACAGACTCGGATTCTTGGGATTCGGAAACCCAATCGGATTCTGAGTCTTGTCGTATCATTAGATCGAAAAACGGTTTCGTTTCAGCATTTAGCGATGTGCCTTCTTTGGAAAGCTATGAAAAGAACGACGCCATTTACAGTCAAGTAGACAAAAGTAAGAAGAAAAAGAATATGCGCCCTCCGTTAGCCACACCTTCGGATGTCATGTCGGAAGATGCCAGAGCTAAAGAAGATTCCTATAAAAGACACACTAAAGAAAACAAAATTAAAACAACAAAAAGAAGTTTCGGCTTTAAATTAAGAAATGGTTTTCAGGAAGACGTATACGACATCCCGATAGAGAAAGATTGGTATGACGTGGATGACGATCTACAGGAGATCGAACGACAGAAAAAATCCGAAGAATCCAGCGATGCAGATACAGCTCCCAATTCAGTCATCAGGGAAGTCGATTATAAAAAGAGAGAAATATCTTACGAGAACGTCCCTAGAAAAGATGGACCAAGAAACGATCAGATTACTAAAGACCGAAATTTATGGTTCCATAAAGCTGACGACGATTACCGTCGGGATATGGTATTTAATGAAGGGACAATGGACTCGTCTTATTCATCTTTGGGGAGGATAACCAAGAGCAATAGAAAATCTTTCGAATCAGGCCAAGCTCAGACGCTAGACAGACATCATTATCGAAACAATCATGGTCCAAGTAATGTAAAAATTTTAGTTAATGGTAAACCCGTTAAAGATGATAACAAACAATGCTTGAGAGGAGGGTTAGCGGCTTCCTATCAGGCCCGTCAAAAAGCTGCTCTTCGTAGGAGCAACAGTACTGCAGGAGGAGTTTTTGGTCGACCCGTGCAGCAAACCGGATTAAGTCCTAATCGCGGTGGTTCTTCGGCCGCTTCGGGAATTTCCAGTTCTGACAGTGAATCGAGTCGCCGACACAAACCGTTAGTTCTGTATATTCCGGGGGTCGAACATCCGGATCACTCGATTAACGAGGATGATCGCTCATCCGGAGCTAACGTAGCCAGAACACAGTCCATGTTATCATCTTCCAAACCTGCCAAATATAGATCTAAATATCGAAACACTCGCCATTCCGGTAGCGAAAAGAGCGACTTATCCAGAAGTAATTCCATGCCCAAGGATGTCAAATTTCCCTGGTTTAAATGGAAAATAAGAGCAAAACCTTCTCGTGAACCTTAAACAATTAAGCAGACAAACTATAATACTTTATAGTTCCCATTTTCACGTCTTGCTTCACCTGTAAAGCCTTCAGTAGAGCGAGAAAGTAACAATCGTCTTTGACTGGAAATCGGCCATTGTGTTGCAAAAAGCAAGTGAAAAATTTATATATATATTATCTTATATCGTTTCTTATGGAGTTCATGTGATAATCGACAGGAGATGTGGTCTCGTAACATTACGGGTATTCTTTCGTCATGGTCGATTTATCCAGAATGAGAAAGTGCGGTCAGATGACCAACGAAGACGTTTCCTAATGCTGTTGCTTTTAGAAAAAAATTCTCTTAAGAATTAGCTACGGTTGTAAAAATTTACATACTTAACCTTCGATGCAATTAGGTTAACGAATCTTCTTAGACAGATCGTCCATTAACTCACGAAGATGCGTGACGAGATGATTCGTGATGTCCAACGAACTCAAAACTGCGAACTTGGATCTTTCGCCCGCTTCATTAATTGCGAAAGATAAGTTGTTATCGTGTATAATGAGTTTGAGTGCCATGAAAGGAACTGGTTCAAATGGTGATCGATTGACCAGATTTTTTTAGAAAGAACTTTCGACTGGAAGAGAGGAATGGATGAATGCGCAATAACTTTCCATTAATGTTGATGTTCGTCCAAGTCAGATCCTAGTCGGTTCGTTACGGAACTACTAACTAGTCTGACATTTGTATAGACATTTTGCGATTAACCTCTTTATATGATATTGTATAATACATCTTGAAAATAAAATTTTTAATTACTAATTATTTTGAATTTCGGATTCTAATAAATATACTTCGTTTCGGAAAATTATTCAGGACGCACTGATTTAAAATTCTGATACTGATAATGAATTTGACTTAATTGCAGCAATATCAATTGATTTCATTTTTCTCTTGTTCGTTGGGATAAATTTTGCTTCATAACTCACTTCAAAATGTTTTTATCTTATCTTAAAGGCGTCTAGAAACGAGCTTTACAATTTAATTAATATTCGTCAGCCAATAAACGTCTCTAAAGAAATGTGCTTAACATGACTGAATAATTTGAAATCAGAATACAGGCCTACATAAAATGTCTTTATAAAGGTCGAAAAATTTTATCTGTTAGACAATATTGTAACAATGAAACCAAGACATAAATCTTGATATTTACATATTATAGAAGGCCTAATGAGTAGATTCTTGCTCAGCAGGCATGGACATTAATTAAGTCTACAAATCATGTCGATGTTGTCCGTTTCCCAGGAGCATTCCACCAGGAAGAATTCTCAGACTTTCTCCTCCTCGAATAAAAATGGTGATATTACTCTCATTTTTCGACCCTTTCGTCCAAAATTAACACACTTCCTAAACCGCGTAGGTAGTCATACCTGGAAGGTAAACGATCGCCTCGACCATAACCGGATTTTGTGCACAAACGAATTTAGAAATTTCACTCTCCAACAAGTTCCAACAGCGACGAAAATCGGGGGCGTTACAAAAATTTAAAATTCCAGATGACTTCGACCCAATTAAACTATTAATATCATTTAAAACGTGTATATTTTATAATTAATATCGGTTTTCTTTTATCCGTAAACTCGCTACCTTCTTCCCACGCAATGAATAATATTTAAAATTCTTGTTCAAACTTTAGAAAGAACAGGTCAAACCCGATTTGTTTCTAATCTTTGAAAGAACCTTATTCGAATTTTTAATTTTCACCCGTAAAGAGGGCAATCCAAGGTTGCAGAAGATATGCTTTATTCGCCTTCCGTTTACAACAGCATTTCCCAATCTGGTTTTCGTTCTAACTGCTGGAGCGGATCGAGATTTAGCAGGGGGAACCGGATGCTCGGCTCTAGCTCGTTACATCACACACTCGTTTATCTAATGACTGCCTTTCAAGGACAGATCGACCTTAAATCCATCATTTGAATAACTGCATCGGATCCGCAGATTAACTGTGAACGTTTGGCGAAAGTAAACTCGACAATGAAAAAGATTCATTGTAATTCGCATCACGATTTTTCAACTTCGTCTTAATGGTCTGTTATCTCTTCTATCGTCCCTTTAAAATATCGAGTATTTACTAACATCCTTTCCTCCCTAGACAATTTCCGTCCATCATTAAGGGCGGAACTCTTTATTGTAGGAAGTACGGTTCGCATCGTACGATTTAAGAATGGACACTATATCCAATCTCTGATATTCATCAGTTTGTCAAATAATGAAAAATCTTATCCGTTAATCAAGAATGACTTTCTTTTTAAATTCATAATTTTTATTCAATGCCAAATAAACTGCTTATAATAAAAATTTTAATTACTGTCTATAAAAGAACTAGCGGATAAAAATTTATTTTTTATCCGCTAGTTCTTTTATAGACAGTAATTAAATGAATTATTTAATTAAATGAATTTTTAATGAATAATTAAATGAATTTATTATTCCTCATACTTCGTTCTATTATAACTGATTCATTTAGTTTGATTTGAGAAAAAACTGTCGGCAAATACATTTTTTAAAGAGAATTCTGTAGTAGACTATTCATAAGTTATGATATGGATGAATGAGTTAGATCGATTAGATAAATTAGAACTGGAGAAAAAAAATTGTTCTTTGCTTAGAGTGCGTGTTTATTAAACGAAGTATCCACTTTTAAACTGGTTGTTATTATAACGGATGATATCCAACTGACTATTATATTTAAAAAAAAAACTTTTTAATATTCTCAATAATTTTAATAATCTCAAAAAATTAGCGACTTGATCCAAATACTGATTTCGTAATACTTAAGCTATATTAAATTCCCAATTCGCCAATTACCTGATTTGGTATATTAAATTATGCATTTACAGTTTACAATATGCTATTTTTAAAATCTATCAATACTTTAAACCATAAAAACCCTTATTAAAACCCATAAAAATATATTACTTATTCTAATAATGGATCAATAAAGAAAAACACGTTCAATCTCTGCCCAAAGTCGATTTTAACGAACAACTAGCGTATATGGTTAATGACTTGTCCTCGTTCAAAGACTCTCTACACTTCCACCAAAAGGTTGAACGTCCACGAATGAGGTAATTGGAATTCAGAATAGAAAGCTTCCAAAAAACTCACGTGACTACGGAGCTTATTAATCGTATTTGCAAACTTGAAATGGCTCTATAAACAGAGATTATGTAAATTTAATATTCCTTTTATCCCAAACAGCAGATCTTTCATAGCGTTTAACCCGTAACTAAATAAATTTTGGCATAATCTGCATTTGTTTTGTTTCATGTTTGACCGTACAAAATTTAAAAAAAGTCGTATATCTCATAACCGATCCGAATCATTAGTTAATGCCTAGACAAAACAACATTACATACTTGGTTTCCATTTAATACACTTTAGGATATAATGCTTAGAAAAATCAGATCAGAGATGGGCGGGACAGAGATTCGAATCTGATCGAGATAACGTGCAACGACACGACACTAGCTTCGGGGCTACGTAACTCGCCCTTCGTATAAATATTTAAACGGAAGATAAACAATGAAATAATATTTATTTCAACTATATTTATACATAACAATCTCGATTAAACGTTAACAAATATATATATTTATATACCCGTGCATAAGATTGTTTTAGGTTTCAACTACGTGAAATTCCAAAGGAAAATATTGCTGGTTCGTCATGAATCGATTTTTTTCCTATTTGGGTTTATTTTTTTAATGGATTATCTGCTTTGTGTAAATCGATATTAGCTTACGATCTATCGACGATTTCTATACTCGATCGGCTACGCAAAGGGTCACTCCGGTTATAACTAATGTCATTCCTACATAAGACACTGAAAAATGGCAGATTATTGTGAATGAGTGGCACAACTTAAAATACAATCAAATAGAAATAATGATAACAAAACATTTCCCAATAATTAAAAAGTGACCTATTAATATGTGAGAGATACTTACTCACGTTGTCACCCTCTTCTCCTAGATAGCGACCCGCAAGAGTAACGAAGACGAAAGTTAGAGAATTAGTCAAAGGGATGGCCAACGAAAGATCTAAAAAAAAGTGAGATCGTTATAACTGGATGTCCAAGGTCAAGGATAATATGCCGATAAATCGTTATAATGTTTTAAGAAAGGTTGAAAAGCATTTGTAAACGGATTTTGCTCGGGGCTAAAATACCCAGTTACAGATTAGACTATATCTGATCGTTTCTTTGTTTGCTTTTTTACTGTTATCAAGAAGGGTTACAATAACCTAGTATTAGTAGAATGATTTTTTAAATTCATTTTTCAAAATGGCGTTTTCACTGGCCAATATATAATCATAAAATGTGTTACGTAAACGAATTAAAAAATTTAGCTGAGAAATTAAAATTTCATTATGTATATAAATATATGACAGTGATATGATTATTAGTGAGTCACTGTACTCTATTCGCTATTAATATAGTTAACAAAAAATATAAGACCTATATTTTGAATTAATTTTTCTCGCCATAAGCAAAATCCATGCTTACAAAAAAACAGTTCTGTACTTTTTCGTATACAATAAAAAGTCATTAAATTTAATTGAAAATATTAAAACACATCAGATTTGATTTTTCCTGTAATTATTTTATCATATTACTAGGCTATAAAACAATTATATTACATAAGGTGTAACGAAACTCTGTGTCAATCTAGGGACAAAAATAAGCTGAAAATCCTCTGTTTTTTCAGAATCCGCTTTGTTTTCAAGATCTAGCCTGCCAAAAAAAGCCACTTTTCAAATTTCCCGCTTCAGTACTATCACCAAAGTTGTCAACTTTTAAAGTAATGTAATTCTGTATTTTTTATTCTTCTGTCAACGGATTGAAGTAAGTAATTCTTCCATACTTGGGCAAGACTTGCTTACCTTGGCAAGGTAAACAGTCTTATCCACTTTAAAACTTTGCAGTATCAATACTTAAAAAAATTTCAACGTTTAAATTAAAGCTTCAGTTTATACACGTTATAACAGAACTGGAAAATAAACAGCTGTACCCTTTCGGCAGGAGGTTTAAAATTGGTTTCCGATATTATCTTTTAAATTTTGGTGGTTAAAGGTCTAGGGACTGGGCGAGATTAGAGGGTCGTCATATCTCGACTAAGGTCGAACTTAATGACGATTTTATTAACATTTATAATTATTTTTATAAAACCCATCCCTACCATCAAAATTAAGTTTTTTGCCATTTTATAATAATTAAAAATATGTAAAGCTTTTAAAATAATATAACAGATGGCGCCACGAAATGTCGCCGGGAAAGTTAAGCAACTCGTTGCTGGACTTTTTTTAATATTACTTTTTAAATTCTTAATTTTTTTCTCCTTATAATATATATTTAATAAATTTAATCGTTATAAATTTTAATTTGAAAGATTTGAAATTATTAGCTATTCTAATAAGACTGTAATTGAAATAATGTTTTTGATAAACTTCTTAATGAAAATAATATTAGATTTTGAAAAAATCCTTATTGGTTTATTGGAATAATGAATATAGGCTACATAAACTGAATTTCGATAAATTACTACTACAAAAATAAAATTTAAAAATATTTAACTCATTCTGCTAATATTATTTTAAAATATTATTTATTAATAACATTTTTGTTTTACTAACTAAAGTACAATAATATAATAATAAAATAAATTGAATGCTAAAATTTCAAAATCAAAAAGCCAATTTTAAAATAAGGCGAAAACTTTCGTAATTACTGTACAGTACTGCACATAATACTACTCTGCAATCTGGAAAAATTGTAGACCTATAAATTCCCACTGTCGTCCGTCCGTCTTCCCTCAATCTCGAGAATGGAGTTAAGTACATGAAAGTCAAGAACAGATATGGAAACCTTAGGGGCAGGAGGCCCCGATTAACTATACACAAACTTCCAATACAAACTGGAAGTCGTCTTATCTCAATTCAAAAATTTTCCCCTAAAAGATGTTAGATAGATGGCCAGTACGACGCTATTGTTAAAGTATGATGTATGTACAGGGACAAGTCACTACTAATTTGAGGTGGAGAGCATATATTTTAAATTAAATAAATTAAAAATATAATTAGAAATTTCACCCCTGAATTGTGACATCACAATAAATAATTGCTTGTCCTCTTTTTGATATTATATTTAAGGAAAGAATAAATTACCGTTGGAAAAAGCACTTCAATTTTCTTTGAAACGAGAAATAATAACAACTCTAATAAAAGCTAAATCTTGTATTAAATTTTTTTGTTACCTTGAGGATCATTTAGTTTACATTCACTTTATCTGATTTCCATACGTTAAGCATTAAAAAAATTACTAAAAAAGTTTTCTGCATTTTATTAAAAGTTTCAAGTCATATAATTTCATCTGAATTTTAAACACAAGTACTAAATTTGTGTAATAATTTGCGAATTCTCTGAAGTAAGTTCAATCTTTTATTTAAAATATCTTTCTTGCTCATCGTCCTAATAACTCTCTTAGTCATTCTAATTAACTAAACTTAATAGCCATTATAGCCATACTTCATTTAACATAACCAAACACTGCATTCCTCTCTTCATAAAAAAAATTATAAAAAGGCTTCTTCAGAGTTTCTAATAGAAGCCATTTTTATGAATTAAAAAAACATATTAATTAAGGTGTCAAATAATAACAATATTCTCTACTGTTCTAATAGTTTTCTATGGCCTATATAGTAACTAAAAATTGCTGGCAACACTATGCTCTTGCTTAATGATAAAATTAAATTAGTCAGGTGAAGAAGATACACATCTTATGACATCTCTCAATCATCAATAAAACAGAAAATAAAATAAAATAAAATAATGTTCGTAAAAAGATTTACAAGTTATGGTAACATACTTATTTTTGTAAAGATAACTAAATTTATTTCAATGATGTAAATAATAATTTATAAAAATTGCACTCAGTTTTGTAGCATTCAAACATTTATAATGAAAGTTGTTGGAATTAAGACTTTTATAAACTATATAAGATTTTCATTGAATTCAAGAACTATTCAAATAATCTTCATAAAAATTACATTTTACATAATATATAAGAAAGATATATGTAAAGCAAATGAATTTTCTAACTAAATTTTTTCCAGATTTAAAATTCAGACAATAAATGTAACAATTAAAACAAAAAAAGGGTCATCATTATATGAATCATTAAGACAATAATAATGATTGCGAAAATGAATGTAATTTAAGGAAAATTTCTGTACATCTTTTACTTATTGTTCTTTTTTAACACATTAAAATGTCTTTGTATTTTGTTTTTCTTGAAGTATGATGAAACAATTCAACTTAAAATATCAAATCAATAAATCATTTGAAAGAGGAAAATATAAAGGATTTAACAAAATATCACACTATATTGTGAAATATTAGTTTTCCTTGAACTATTTCATTTAAACTAATGCCAACAGATAAATTTCTAAATTTTGACTTAAATAACTGAATTTAATTTACAGTTGAAATGTTCAATATCATAACTATTGTACAAAAGTAAGTTAAATAAAATTATAATTTAAATAAATTCTACAATAATTTTATACGCTAAACTTAAAGAATTTTTTAATAGTCTTAATTACGGTAGTGATATTTCAAAATGTAAATAAAAGTATTATATATGTTGTTAAATGTAATAAATTAATATATTTATTCTCTACAATATCATAACAAATATAAATTCTCCTTTGCAAACTATAACTTCTATTTCAATTCTATTTATAATTTAAAAGTAAAAAATAAGTGAGTCATAAGTAATGCAGTTTAATAGACCTTAACAATATTAAAAATATATTCATTTAATCCAATATATACCAATGTAATGTCCTTCACTTAGATATAACATTTTTTCTAATCTACAAGTTTTTCAATGCCTTTCATATAAAAATTATCAGATTTTGACTCAAAATTTATTTCTATATACTTCTGGATAATTTTTTTGAATAAAAACTTTTCCACTAAGACTTTCGAAGAAATTGAAAGAGGAGATAATCAGAGAAGAGAGTGTCAGATCAGGATTGTATGGAAAATGAAGAAAAATTTCCCAATTAAGTTAATTCTCTTAATTTTTGCTGGGTAGCTATTGTGATTTAGTGTCAAGTGTTATCACTTAACAAAATAACACCATTCCTATCTGCCAAATATAGATGTTTTTCATGGAGTTTTTCACAAATTTTTTCCAATTGCTATCAGTAAAAGAAACATTTTTTGTTTCATTTGGATTCAATAATTCAAAATGCAGTATTTCCCTCATTCCATTAAACACATAGCTAAACCTTTCAAAACTGAAGACCACACTTTAATTCTGGAATTGAAGTAGCCTTTGAATATAATCAATGTCTTTTACGAACGCAACAAGCATAAGAAACCCATTTCTCATTCCCAGTTACTATGATATCCAGAAATGGAGTTTGTTCTTGCCTATTAAGAAATGAAACACATCCAAACGATTCTGTTCAATAAGATCTATGGAATCCATATCCCATCTGTGTTTCCTTTTCCTACTTGGCTTAACATTTAACTGCTGTTGACTGGGGGATACAAAGATTTTCTTGTCTAGATAGTTTTGAGTCAACTTTCACTACTGCAGCAATTTCAGCATTTTCTGAGCCAGAAGGTCATCCAAAGCAAGGTTCATCTTTAAGATTGGCATTCCTATCTTTAAATTTTTTGAACAAATGATGAATTCTATTGACTTTTATGGCTTTACCTGCCATACACATTACACACACTGTTTGTTACTATAATCACAGTGTTACATTTTCTAAATTAATTTTACATGCCTTAAATGTTCTTCTAGGAAGCTCATTTGTTTGATACTAACAACTTTTAAAATTAAAAAATTATTTTAAAATAACTTATTAAAAATAATCAAAAACAGCAATTAAAATTTTGATGTAAGCTTTCTGACTTGTTCTTGTCTAATTAGTAATAAATAACTATAAGCCTGGAATATGAGTAATTAAAATTATTAAAACAGTTATGTAATTATCAAATTAGCACCTAAATTAATTGGTGTATTATACAAGTTGTGTTATAGCATGAAAACAATGCTTGGAAAAATAACATTACATATGACTCAACCCCATATATATATAATAATTTCATAATTAGTTAATTAGAAGGAATTTTCTTTAAAATCCAGGAATTTAATATTATTATTAGTTTTATGATAGTATATTTATTTAAGGTTTTTTTTATTTATATCTACTTTATTCAATAAATCAATTTTTTATTCTTTCTATTATTAATTAATTGAATTTTTTACTGAATTGAATTGGCAATTAAACTAACAAGATCATTTTTTATGTAAGTTACTGAACTTTTTAAATCTAAATTTAGTTTATTGTAATATCACAATGAAAAATGATAAGACTTGTATAAACAAAACAGCACTGAAAATTAGTTTCTATATAATTTGGCCATTATTCTATGTGACAAAAGAAAGAATGTGATAATAATGCTTATGAAGACATGCTTATAGTATACATAATCATTGATCTAAAAAAATAAATGAAGAGAATAGTACTATAAGGAAATAAATAAAATAGACCCACGCTTAAAATAAAATAGACTAAAGAAGGTCATTTGTGCCTTATCCTTCAAAATATAATGAAGATATTTTTAATACTAAAGAGAGCTAATTATTATTTAAATTTTGCAAATGATTTATTGATATATTTATTCATTAAAGGTCAAAACATGATACAAATAATTCAATAAATTTATTTGTATATATTTCAATAATTCTTTTATTAATTTAATGAATTATTTCTTATCTAAAAAAAAATAAGCAAACTAACCTGTTGATGCAAGAGTCATAATATAAAAAGCAGAACCACTTTGATTGATTAAAAATGGAAGAACATACTAGAAATATATATAAAAAAATTAAAATATAATAAATATTAATCATTTTAATTTAATTAAAAATATATTTTCTGAATAGATAAAGATAAGATTTAAATTTAAAATTTTTCAGATTTATAATTAAGTTTTAAATATTAATTTTAAAAAAAATGTTGATAAAATTGTATATTCAAACATGCATTAATTATGCTAATTAATTTTTTCCCTCACATTCTTTGAGAATATAAACTAATTCATAAAATATTAATTTTTTCACTTCCAAGTATATACTTTTTTATTCTTGTATCTTATTGATTAATAATGTAACAAGGGAGGCTTGTACTGTACCATAAAAACAAAAATAAATCAAACCTAACCATTGACTAAAACACAAAATATCAAGTATATTTTTTTTATAGTTATATATGTAATAAAGCATTAATACACTATTCATGTATTGGAAGTATATTTATTTAAAAATATGATGAAAAATTACCATATTTACTCGCATATAAGATGACCTCGCATATAGGACGAGGTGTGACTTTAAAGATCAAAATAAAGAAAATTAGATTTATTAATACAATTCTAATTTTATTTTGTTNAAAAACATCATCATCTTAATACTGTGTGTGTATAGAGCTATATATTTTATTTAAAGCAACACATACATATTACATACAATAAAAAAATTACCTTAATCTCAAAAAATATTAAAAAACTTACATTCTACAAATGAAATAAAATCATAATTTTAGAAATATCTAATCATTCTCAGACACACTCAAAATAACTTCCAGACAAGCCCAAGTCCACAAGAAAATGGATACTGGGAATGGTTATTTGTGGTTTAGCGTAGTGACAAGTAAATTCGACTTACATTGTTTTTTGACTTAAGTTGCCTCTCCTGGAACCAATTACCGACGTAAGGCAAGGTATACCTGTAGCATACTTTTGTTAACTTCTGGAAAATAACCCTATGTTTCGCATTAGTCCTTTGTTTCGTATAGTAAAGATTTGAATAACATAGAACTTTTCAGTAATGTAACTATTGTGTTATACGAGGGATACCTGTACATGACTAAAAACATTTGCTACTTCACAAAAATCTTTTCTAATATTTTCATTATAGTATAGTATTTGTAAAAACACATACTTTCTGTTATCTCAAATTTTTACATTTTTTTGGCATAACCGAGCAAAGTACAATAACTACTGTACTGTTAAACTGAAGTCACTGCATTACAGTAAAATGCCTTTTGTAAATATAACAATAATATATAAAAGATGGCAAAGTAGATAGTTGGTGAAATATTTCAGGAATGTAGACAGATAATGTTGAGAACATCATACCAGACAACTGCAGAGCCCACAAATGAGGAACAGGACACGATGATTACAGAAATTTTGTACAACAGTAAAGAGGAAGATGATGGAACAGAAAACAAATGCTAAAGCTACCAATGACAGCTTACAAGCTTTCAAAAATATACAGCACCACTGATAGGTAGATTGCAAAGAGATGCAAAAATCAGACCCTATTCCTGAGCACAATCCACTAATGTACACCAGATTTAGAAAATAGAATTTCTGGTCTACATCATTAAATATTTGTAATGTATGTATTTATGGTTAATAAGCATACATTTGAACTATAAATATGAGACAGAAGCTGATTATTATTATTTTCTATTCTTTAAAAAAGTTGCATTGACTATGCATAATTAACTGTAATTCTCATTGTTTATTTTAATTTATTCTTAATGCAAACATTATAATTTTAAATTTTTGTAGTAGCAATTCCTGGATATGAATGAAAAACATAACAGTGAAATAATGTATTTTATAATTGAATCATTACAAATATCATTTCAATTAAGTACAATATTGCAAGCAATGTTGTTGAAATATTAACATAATATTTCTCAAATTAAAAATATTCTTTTTACCCTTGATAAATAAAGACTGAAAGATTATTCAAAGAATCAAAAATGCTGAAATTTTTAGTTTTTTTTCTAAATTAATTTAAATTAGCTTAAAAATAGTTCAGTTTAAAAAATTTCTGACAGCTTTGATTATCCTTGGTTAAATTATATAAATTTATGGCTATTATTTATATATTAAAAAATTATTCTAACAGAAATGCCAAAACACTTATACAAGCTTCATAACAATTTTTAATTAGCCAGATGTTTTTAGAGTAATTGTTCCATCGTCAAGGCTATTACAAAAATGAATTGAATCACTCTCTTATATTCTAAAAACATTTGACTGATGAAAAATGAAATTATGACACTCGTAAGATTTTGGCATTTTTATGAAAACAGAAAACCTATTTACTTTGAATTTTAGAAATTTATTTCAAACTTGTGCAAATGTTGTCAATTATGAAAAATATTTCCTAAATATTTTATGTTTATTCAATATTAAAAATGTTATGGTTATTTTTAAAAAACAAAAACATCATCATCTTAATACTGTGTGTGTATAGAGCTATATATTTTATTTAAAGCAACACATACATATTACATACAATAAAAAAATTACCTTAATCTCAAAAAATATTAAAAAACTTACATTCTACAAATGANGTAATAAAGCATTAATACACTATTCATGTATTGGAAGTATATTTATTTAAAAATATGATGAAAAATTACCATATTTACTCGCATATAAGATGACCTCGCATATAGGACGAGGTGTGACTTTAAAGATCAAAATAAAGAAAATTAGATTTATTAATACAATTCTAATTTTATTTTGTTTAATCACCAGTAAAATATCAAATGCACAAAAATGCACACATTGTCTTGAAAAAATTACTGGCATTTTATACTTTAAGGAAAAATCTTGTAAAATTGACAACACAATTTATTCATGTAAAGCTGGACAATCTGGAACCTTTTTTTGCTAATTCTTAAAAGTCAAATCCATTCTCTGCTGATTACACTTACTAGTTTCTCCAAATTCTGATTTCTGAATAATCATCTGTTTTCATGTGGGAATGGATTAAAACTTATATCGTGCTCTCGTGTGATTTTGAAATTTCAATCTGTAATTCAATTCAAAAGCTTTGCTTTTCCTATTGCTATTCATCATTACTCCTGACAATATACAAGAATGATCCAAACGACCCAGATAAAATACTTATGTTTTTAAATACCAGAGGGTAAGCATCCAGTAAAAATGCAAATACACAGTTCACAAAAATTATTTGCAAAAATGCAAAGAATCTTTTGCTCGCACGTATTGGACAACCTAGGAATTTGAAGCTGTGATAAATGAATAAAAACCTTGTATTATATGCGAGTAAATATGGTAATTGCTTTCCACATTTTTGATGTCCATTACATATTAAATATTTGTTATCTTAAAAACAGAGAGCTTTTATTCATACCATAAACAATCATGCAAATAGTTCATGCCATATTCCATTTGAAATATTCATATTATTTGTTGCAATAATAAACAATTTGGATATTTTAAATATAAATATAAAATATATAAACAATAAATCCATTAACCTGATTTTTGCATAATGCCAAACAATCTGCCTTATTATTGAACTATAATAAGGTTAATTTAATAATTATATATAAAGTAATCTAAGTTCCACTCCAGGCTGAGTGTTTTCTTCNTGAACTAAAAACGAACCCAGATCATCTATCTATCTATATAAATAAAAATGTAATGTTCGTTTGTTCCTACTGATTCCTTTGAAATTTTGACACAATGCTGCATTTGAATACGCGAGTGTTTTTATATAATATACATGTCAAAATTTCCCTCACTGAAGGGAGGTTATTTGGATTTATAATTTATATATAAAAAAGAATAACTATTTTGCAAGATTATGGAGTCATGTATCCTGACCTGTGTAGAAAACTTCTTTGTTTATCTTTACATTAGTTTTTACTGATGTATAACAACCGATTTCTGAACTATTCATTTGTTAGCCTTGCTACCAATCAAACAGCTTGACAAAAAACACTTCTTTAAAAAAAAAAAAAGGACCCACATCAGGTTATTGTGACACCTAGATATAAAAGCATGATCTAGATTCTTTTGTAAGTTTATATTATATGAAAATTATTCAGTGAAAGTGATGTAATAAACTTTACACATGATTCTAAAGTTATTACTTTTTTAATAATTTACAACAGTTTTTTGTTTTTAAATAATTTTAAATATTTAAGTATAAATTAAAAAGTTACATAAAACTTTGAATTTCAGTTATAACTAAAAAGAGGAATTTCCAATGTAAAAATATGCTAAAAATGACAGAAAAAGGTGGTAAAAAAGGTGCATGTTTATTTAACTATTACATATACTGGGATATTTCTGCATTATTTAAACTAAAGTAAGATGAAATTTAAGTTAAACATAAGTGAAATAACAATTTTCTGTCCATTATTTTAAAGCATCACTAAACCCACATCAGAAACTTGTAGTGAATGATGTTTCTTGACTGCATGATAAAATTCATCATCATCTTTCCCAAAAGCTGTTTACGTGTAATGAAAAGTATCTTTCTATATCTAATGATATGATCCAACATCCTTATTTGGGGTAAATGTTTTTTTTAATGTTTAAAAAATTTTGTAAAGACCAGAACAATTAATAATCTGAGGGTGCCAGATCTGGCAAATATGGTGGGTGTGGTAACACATCCCATCCAAGTTGTAACAGCTTCTGACAAGTTACCAAACTTGTGAGATCTGGCATTATCATAGTGAAACACTACACCTTTTCTGTTGATCAATTCTGGCCTTTTCTGTTTGATGGTATCACTCAATTTGTCCAGTTGACAGCTGTACACTTCCGAATCAATTGTTAAATTGTATGGTAAAAGCTCCAAAAAAAATTTCCTTAAAATCCCACCAAAGAGAGCATCTCTTTTTAAGAACATGTGGAACCCATATATCGAGCTTTGAAATGAAACAAAATTGTTTCAAGTAATCATAAATGGTTCAATTTGACAAATTTAATCTCTTAATGATTTCTCGTGTTGTTATTTG